GGAAAGCTATATATTTAATTTTGGAGGTACTATAAATGTGCCGAAGGAGTTATTCACATTTCTTTGTTCATTAGTCTATGTAGTTTCAGGAATAATAAGCAGAGATTGAGAATTCAAATGTGAAGGGTGTCGTTTTTCTGAGAGACTTGGGATCAACATTCTCCAATTACAGACCTTGAATTTTTTTACATTTTGTATTTCAGAAAGTTGAATTTGGTAAGTAGAGTGAGTGTATAAAATTTCAGGCAAATTGATTAAACCATTGAAAAAAGATACAAGGTGGATACATTTTTGCAAAAAAAGTAACACGACCCCTGTGTCTTGGTGATAACATCAAATTGCCCAATTTGAATATTAAATTATTTATGGCAGAGGTATGTCCTATGTACACTACAAGAATGTACAGTGGCTCGTGAATCACGTTCAAGTTCTAGTTCTAGTTTTTCGAATCCTACTAAGTGATCTAAGTGACCCTTGAATATTATATCATTTTTACCTACCATACTGAAATTTGGTTTCCATTGATAATGTACTCGGTGAGATCTTCAAAATTGGGAATCGCAACACCCCTCATCCCCATTCCAAATCAGGGGGTTGTGGTTTATTATTTCCATATACAGGGTGTTTCAAAATCAGTAGGCAAAAATTGAGGGACCTATGTTTCTGGTCGAAATAAGACTTTTTTTCTTATTAATATCTGTTCGCGAACGCTTCGTTGCCGATCTACATATGGCGTTGAAATTTGAATCATTTTTCATTTTCCAGCATCCTTTTGAAAAGTCAAGGTTCGTTAGGTTTCTTATTCTTCTAGGTAAATGTTCAGAACTTTGTAATTAAGATCAAGAACTAGATATGTAGTAATTTTCAATGTTCATTGTGACAATTGGTTCCTTCTTTTTGTTGGAAATTTCAATTGAATCAAGCGACTTATAAAAAAGTGTATTTTTTCCCGATAACGGTCGCAGATGCGTGAAAATAACAAGATATGACAAAAAATTATATAATCAAAACAAATAACTCATTTCGTATCTAAGAATCTTCCAGTGGCACACCACAAACAAATTTATGGAGCAAAAAGGAGGGCCTTACCCTTGAAAAATATCTCCCTGTAGTCCCTGTAGAACCCCCCTCGGGGACTCATGACTTGTGAGTACGGGAATGGCAATCCCGAGCTACCCCAGCCGGATACTCATTAATCTTCAACTTGTCTTTGGTGGTATCCTCTTCACTCTTCAGTTTGCAATCTTTTTTATCGGCCTCTCTTGGTCAATTCTTCTTTGTTCCTTCTCCCCTAAAGCCCAACCTCACCATAGTAAGGGGAGGACAAGCCGCGGCTGCTCGGCAGATTGAGCATTTTGGGAACATGTTTGCTCTTATCACTCAGATGGAACAGTTTTGTGGACATCTGAGTGCAGAGATGGGGCAATTTGTGAACATATCTGCTTATGTGGCAGCGGATTGATAACGAGGCTCTGGCAACCTAATCCGAGTTGTGGGAACCCGTGACGACTGATGAGTGGCACTGGGGTCATATGGTGTCGATAACGGGACCTCTGGGCGACATCTCAGAGTAAACAGCCTTATTAGCCCTGTGCAGGGGGCACCACAGTGGTGGACCAACCGATTCTCCCATTACTCGTAGGAGAAACTCGTAGGAGAAAGACATTTTTTGGCCCATGGAAGAGTAGTCTTCAGGAATCGGAATGAAAAGGGTGTTAATTTCAAACGAACCTCTAGAACTGTGAGCAGCAGTGCTCACAAATACTTTCGCGGCATTTGAAGTGGCCCTTATATCAGAACCATGGGTCGTATATGGTAAAATCAATATCGGCATATTCGAGGTACAATGGCACAATGGGTCAACAGGCCTATATAAGTGTCATCGGAGACTTCGGTCAGAAGAGCCTTGAAAGGAGGTGAAGTGCTTAGTAGGTACACCTACATGTAGGGATTCCCACACTACCATGAAGGGGATGCCCAGACAGCACCAGATATTCCATGAATCTCCCTATCATATTCCTTTTGGAATATTGGAATATTCTAGAAATAATCTGGAATATTCCGGAATATCTGTGGAATATTCTCTAAATATGCGAATGGGAATTCCTCAGATAATCATAGAATATACCCAAAAGAATATTCTATGTTGAATGTTCCTGGAATATTCCAAGAAACATATTCTAAAATTAAAAAAAGTGACCCAAGTAGGGATCGAACTCGTGACCTCAAGACTATCAGAGCAACGCCTTGACCACTAGGCCAGTAATCGAATTGAATAATGTTATGCATATCAAGTTCTTGTGAGAGCATTGTTCGAAATCGGATCATAAACACTTTTTGTTTCAAAATCCCCTTACATCGAATTGATGTTCGATACTCATATGTCTGAAATAATAAATGGTATTTATGTGTTGAGAAACAAAGGAATATTCATGGAATATTTAATGAATATTCACCACCGAATATTCAGTTGAGAATATTTCATGAATATACCGCACAGAATATTCAGTTGGGTATATTTCATGAATATACCGCACAGAATATTCAGTTGGGTATATTTCATGAATATACAACAGAGAATATTCAGTTGGGAATATTCCTGGAAGATTCATACCTGAATATTCCCTGAACATGCCCGACTATTCACTTTGGAATATTCCTTTTAGATGTTCCAGTGACATGTATATATTCTAGGAATAATCGATGAATATTCGGAATATACTCCTCCTTTTTAGCATATTTAGAGAATATTCTATGAATATCCAGTGCTGTCTGGGTGGCTCGTCGTGGTGTCCATAAAGAATTTTGACCATCTTCGAAAAAAAGTCCCTGTAGATTCTAACAATCACTCGGTATACTGTATGATGTGAACTCATATGTTTCAAACTAAATCTGAATATCTTGAAAATTGAAAGAGCTATGAAGAAAAAAAAAAAGAAAAAATCTCGACATTTTAACGCTCTGTAGCGATCGGTTAAGAAGCGTTTGAGGACAAATGTTTATAGGAGAAAAGCCTTATTTTGATTTGAAGAATAATCCCTTGATATCTTGATAGCAAATTTTGAAACACCCTGTATACCTACATCTTTCGGAATTACGTAAACGAAGCCTTCTTTCTCAAAATGAGTTTTTTTATAGATTCTGTACTCTGTATGAATATCACCTTCCACGACGTTTCTCGAGCTGGTCAACACTAATTATTATCACTGCAAGACACGTATATAGGTAATGAATATTATACCGGGTGACACAGGAGACATGTAGCAGCCTGTAGTTTTTTTATTTGAAGAGACAACATTTTGAAATTAACGACAATTTTTTTCAACCATCTGTTTGACCGGAAGTGACCCCAACTTTTTCTTTTAAATGTCACCCTGTTACATTTCTTCGGTCTATCTTTTTTGCCTTGAAATTCTCTATCCAACCATGTATCATAAAGTGGCATTTATTTCTTAATTCGCTGTTGGAATGCTTTTTATTCAAAAAGAATAAGCTGGCTGTGACATGAATTATTCGATGATATATCGACACTTGGTAGGCTTTGAAATTTGAAAATCATTAGTAAACCGATATTATTCAAAATGTTTTGATATTCTGATCAATGTCTGCAGGTTGTCAATAGCTTGTTCGAGTCAAGATGAAAACCTTCGAAACTAACTCATGATATTGAGGAATCTAAGATAGGAACATATTTGTTCGAATTCAGCTACTCGTACAGAAATTATCTGTCTTTAATTTTCGCCATGTACCTATCACATGATCTTTCCATTTGGAATAATAAAGCTGAAATTGTTCCTCTTATACGATGATCCACAGGGCTATCAGTCTATTTTTTCATGATTATTTCACTAAGTAGGCGGTGTACCTACACAAAATGTTTTATGTGTTTGACAGTTAATCGATTGCATCAATGATTTTTCATCTTCATTTGTGTGTTGATTAAAATTGCATATTATCAATATCGATGGAAAATGTATTCAAGAAACGAAAAAGTCGATTGAATGATCTTTAAATTTCAAAGCCCATCAAGTGTCGATATATCATCGAATTCATGTCACACCCAACTTATTCTTTTTGAATAAAAAACAATTCAACAGCGAATTAAGAAATAAATGTCACTTTGTGATACATGGTTGGATAGAGAATTTCAAGGCGAAATAGATAGACTGAAGAAATGTAATGAAATGTAAAAAAAAGTTCTGGTCACTTCCGGTCAAACAGGTAGTTGAAAAAAATTGTCGTTAAGTTCGTAAAGTGCGCTACCATTTATTATATACCCCCTGTGAATTTCAAAATTTTATCTCTTCAAATAAAAAAACTACAGGCTGCTATATACATGTCTCCTGTGTCACCCGGTATATAGTAGGTAAAGGTAGATCGAATCACCTTGACAGAAAATCATGAATCGATAGAAAATAATGAATCAATAGAAATCATCAATTACTATTAACTGAATATGAATATGTCTTCAAACAATATATATATAGAATATTGTTGAGATTTGTAAGTCGAACTCATTTTGAACCAGATCAAACTCAACTGAATCATTCGTATATTAATTTTTCATCGGTTAGGTAATCATGGATACTAATCTTCAAATAAAAATCAAGAATTCGAACTATTCAATCAATCTTGATGAGAACTATTGATTCATAAAAAAATACATATCTCATTTCTATCAATGAAGAAGTGAAGCTTGAATAAATTACGTAAATATACACCTATTCGGTAACGTGGTCGCATGAATCAAATAATCGAACAATTTCATCGACAATCTGAATCTTGTCAGACTATTATCGAACAGGTCCTATTGTAATGAATCGAGTTCAAGACGAGGAGGTACCGCCCTAACCCAGACCTTCAGCGAAAGCGAAAGTGGATCACACACTAGAACCGGCACTTGGACCATATGAAATTATGTAATTTTTGATCAGTATAAATATCGATGGGTTCATTCAAAATGCATCAGTTTCTTGCAAACAAGATCATCATCAACTACAATGGCTTTTAAAGTAAGAATTATTAAAATACCTACCCTACCATATAAGTATAAAGAAAATATCAGAAATAGTAATAAGGATAATTTATCAATATTTATGGGGAATTATTATTCTTCATTCGTGGAAAGATGATTAGCCAGAAGTTAGTAATATTGAGAAAAATAAGGAAGAAATGATAGTACCTAGTCATCGATATGTCCCCAAATAACTAGTTGTTTAATGTTGGATTTTTGTACATATCATTGGGTAATTGCGAAAATGAAGCAATTATATATTTGAATGAGAATGAAATATATTGAAGGATGGATGAAAGTCGCCTCACAGTTCGCCTAGGTTCTGTATATTGATATTTTAAACTGATATGATCGGGTTCGAAAAATCGAGTTATCTCAATATTCTTCATTGATATTGATCAAGTAATATATAATATTATTCGTTATACCTACCTTGGAACAGTTCAGCTGTATGTTAATATGCATATATGTGAGTGATTGAAATATTCCTTGGCATTATAATAAATAGAATCTATTTTTTTCACAGTTCGTCGTTCTCACCACCCTATTGGCTTGCGCCAACGCAGGCTTCCTCAGCCAACCAGCCATTGCCACCTACTCTGCTGCCCCTGCCGTGAGCAGCTCCTACCTCCACCAGTCCGCCCCTGTTGCCGTTGCACATGCCAGCCCTGTCTACTCCACCTACTCTGCTGCCCCTGTATCCATCCATGCCCCCGCCTACGGAGCTTCCCACCAGAGCGTTGAACGATCCCTTGGAGGAGCCCAGTCAGTCTCCCACTACTCCAAAGCAGTAGACAGCGCCTTCTCCAGCGTCAGGAAATACGACACCCGTATCACCAACGATGCCCTGAGTGTAGCACCTGTTGCTACCTATGCTGCACATGCCCCAGTAGCCACATATGCTTCCGCTCCAGTGTTCACTAAAACGGTTGCTCCATTGGCGTACTCTGCTGCACCAGCTGTCAGCAGCTCATACATCCATCAAGCTAGCTCTCCAGTCTACGCCGCCCAAGCTCCAGTTGCAACTTACGCTTCCGCTCCAGTCATCGCTAAAGCTGTTGCTCCGGTCGCTTATGCCCATGCTCCAGTTGCTACCTACGCCACTCATGCTCCAGTTGCTACCTATGCTGCCCATGCACCAGTTGCTACTTACGCCGCACATGCTCCAGTTGCTACCTATGCCGCCCATGCTGCCCCAGTCGCCTACTCTGCTGGACCAGTAGTAACCAAGTCTGCCATCGCTTACTCTCCAGCCACCGTTGTATCTCACGCAACCTTCACCGGTTTGGGAGCTTCTTACCAATGGTAAAAAACGACGAATTTCTGTAAATACCTATTTATGTAATTTATCGGTTCCAAATAAATGTTCTATTACATGATATATTGAATTCATTCATCATAACTATTCATCTCACATATTTCAATTATACAAAAATTCATATACTAGACGGAGAATTTATATGAACAATCAATAATAACGAAACAGAAATTCATAGAATATAAAAAACTCGTCACAAGCATACAACACAACCTCCTTTCGAAGTGACAATAAGTTGCATGTAGTTCAAAAGAATACCACACTATCGTAGGTCATCATAAACAGAGGTGATATATAGTTCATCTGAGCACAATTTGACCATTGTCGATCTAAATGAAAACCTAGTAGGCGACCTAGTACGCGAGGAGGTACAATATTGTCTGTTCTTTGAATCAAAATCTGTCTGCCTGTCAAGTGGCGCTGGCATCCTGAAAATGGAAAAAGCTCATTTGTTTATGTCAAAATAGACCATCAGTGGGACTCTGTAACTTGTGTCGCATAGCGAAAGCGTAGCGAAAGCGAAACGAAGCGAAGTATACGACTTCGCTTTCCGGTACTCTATATGTAGTTCGTTATGCTTTCGCTATCGTCATACGATTTCGTACGAAATAGAACGAAGTTGGTGGAGTTAAATTTGGCAACAGTGTTGCGGATCCCATTTATTCAAAGGAAACATCCCATTGGATCAAAAAAGCGGCATTTACGAATTATTGTATTGTCAATTTTTGGTTTCAATCAGAAATAAAGCACTTGCAGCTCATTGGAAAATATGTACCTTACTTTATAAAAAATTGGTATTTATATTCTCACTAGGTATATCTCAGGTATAGCTTTCTATTTATATGCAACTAGTAAAGGCAAATGATCTGAGAATAACAATAATATTGTAAGATATGTAACTGCTTATATTTATAATGGACATATCATTCTATAATCTAACACTCAGTATATTATTATTCACATACTATAAAGTAATACCTATCAGAACTTGCTTCTCTATGTCGCAAATTAAACAAGATGATAAGCACATATAATTCCTTGAATTGCCTTCTGCAAGGCAGCTATATGTTGACAGTGCATTTATACAGATGCACTTTTTCTTACAGTTCACTTTAGAATCTTGGATGGAATTATTAATGTAGTGAAAGTAGAATCCGTTCTTGTTCTTGTTCAACATAGTAAATAATGTTCAGTTAATCCTGTTTCATGGAATTTACTCTTGATTCTCCCTTATTGGTACACAGTAATATTACACAGTTCTTCTTGGGTGTCTCCAAGGTTTTTGCTATCCAAATTATTTTTCCTTCCAATGCACTTATTATGCAAATTTTTCAAATTTGAACGTTCCAGGCTTTCTGTTATGTTTCACTGTTGTAGGTATCGGCATATTATATTAGTAGGATTCTTCAATTACCTATTATTGTCTTCTTCAATGGACTCACACCAAAGACATATTTTTCTTAACAAGGATTCAGTGAGACAACATTCAGTAATGGCACATTTCATTTTTTGGAGAAGCTACTTATATCTGCCTGTTTTGATGTATCAGGAATCTAAAAGAGAAGGATAATTCGAATGAATATGAATTATTCCAGACCCTATTCAACAGCACTAATGACAGTTTTCAGTTTATTTTTCAACTACCAAATGAACTGAATGTTTTCATCACACTGTCTATCATATTTTTTATCTCACGTCTCACGTTCTTTCATCCCCTACCTTAATCCTACCAAAGGGAACTTCCATCTCTCTGGAATATCTTTAGGACTTTGTTCGTAAAACTGAGGAATCTGTCCCACTGACTGAAGTTCTGTTTTTGCTCGCTTTGTTATCCATGTTTGGGTTCATTCGTCATTTATCAATCTATTATTTTTCTCAAATCAACACAAAGTTTGAACTAGGAACAACAACAAAAACCCACTAGTTCAGTGCAAAAACCAATACCTATAACCTCAATCGTTGAGAATCGCAGAAAGCGGCAACCAAAATCCTTCGCTTCTGCTTCGCTTACGAACTCACGTTCGGCGTCTCCGACCTCATCCGAATATTGATACAGAGTACCGAAACGGCAAAAGCAGTCGATTACGCATGCTTTCGCTTTCGCTTTGAGTTACAGAGTCCCACTGCATATTAGGTTGATATTGTCTTCTTCTATTTTTTTCCAACATGTTAATCACCCACAGATGTGCTTTCCATCATTGACGTGATATTCGATACAAAGCAGGCGATGAAGAAGATTCTTTCATGAGATTGAGATGTCATAATCAAAAAATTATTTTCTGACAGTTGTCATTAACTTATAATTTCGTCTTTGTGAATATGTTGAACTTTGAATTCGTATTCTTGAAAATTACAATTATTCCTAATTGTTTCTTCTAGTATTAGTTTTCTATTGCAGTTTGTTGATTGGTTTGTGAGTGCGATTGTGTTATTTTGCAATGTTATCTGAAAACTTCGCACTCCAGGAGGTGGAGGTGTAAAATTATCAAGACCTGGTTTCTCCTATCCCCACTGTTGTGAATTTGAGCCTCAAATCCTGAGGCATCAATGAGTTTATGCCATATTCATTGGATTGCAAGGTGAAATTTTTTTCTTAAATCGTATAATATTTGAAACTTGATGCATTGATATTTCAGGAATGGGAGTTTTTGAAGTGAGCGAACATGATACTGTATGTTTCCAACATTTTAAGGGAACTGTTTCTTGCCAATGAAGAATTGGAAACGGTTTTGGAAGGAGGATTCGGTTCCAAGTTTGTTTAAGGAAGGTATATACAGGGTGTCCCTAGACCAGTGGGACAGTTCAATATCTCCTGAACCAATAGGAATTTTCAAAATATTATGATTCCACATCATATCGCATTATGAGTGCTAACTTCAGGAATGACTATATTTTATACGAGGGGCGCTAGAAAGGCTCACAAAATCGAACATCATATTTTTCAAATGGAACACCCTGTATTTCATTGCATTATCATATTCTCCTTGATGAGCTGAGTTCAACGACCTAGCACACTTGGGGTCTAGCAGAAATGATTTCCGAGATATAGGGTGTGGAAAATCGAGATTCTTAATTTCTGGGAATTTTTTGTGTCGAAACTATTCATTATTGGTCAAAACGGAATACATGTCCAGATCTTAACTTTTGATTTACTATTTACTCGTATTTAATTGAAACAAATACAGGGTGGTGTAGTATTTTCAGTTTCAGTCAGAATTCTACACCACCCTGTATTTGTTTCAATTAAATACGAGTAAATAGTAAATCAAAAGTTAAGATCTGGACATGTATTCCGTTTTGACCAATAATGAATAGTTTCGTCACAAAAAATTCCCAGAAATGAAGAATCTCGATTTTCCACACCCTATATCTCGGAAATCATTCCTGCTAGACCCCAAGTGTGCTAGGTCGTTGAACTCAGCTCATCAAGGAGAATATGAAAATGCAATGAAATACAGGGTGTTCCATTTGAAAAAATCGATGTTCGATTTTGTGAGTCTTTCTTGTGCCCCTCGTATAAAATATAGTCATTCCTGAAGTTAGCACTCATAATGCGATATGATGTGAAATCATAATATTTTGAAAATTCCTATTGGTTCAGGAGATATTCAACTGTCCCACTGGTCTAGGGACACACTGTATATAAATAAAATGATATTTAACAAGTTCCTACCTATACAAACTTTTTGTAGCAATCAGCTTATTAGTTTCTAGTTGACTAGAACTATAAGTTTCAGTATAAAAATTACCAAGAACTTGACTTTGGTACCTCTAAAAATTGTTCCAGTCAATTGTCATTGAATTCATTTCAGAATGGTACAGAACATTGAAACTGGGGACAAAATAGATATCAAATATTTTTATAGTTTCAGACTCATCAATGTAGTTTGGAATATGATGCTGAAGAGAAACTCCTTCCTTAAGGAACACGACCTGAAGATGAGGAAGCATCTTAGGAGGAAACGGGCATTTGAACAGATATTATAGAATGATAATAAATAATAATAATGTTTATTCAAAATTTTGACAATATGAATTAAAAAGTTATATATATTGGTATTGAATATTCCTATGGTTTAATTTGTGGCAATTATAGAAACATCTTCTCATATTTAGTGAAGTTAGTGGCTTCAATAAGATGATTTTATAAAAAATAATCATTGTTCAGCAAAACATATATTTAACCTAAATACTTACCTTTGGTACAATATATAATGTTTTCAAACTTACCTGTCAATAAATCTGTACAACAATAAACAGGGTATCAGAGGAGAACAAATTAGTAGAATAAAAATTGCAATAATTCTTCATAATTATATTCAATTTATTAAAAAAATATAATTGTATTGTCATTCCTACATATAAAAGTTATTTTCCAATAAAAAAAATTATATTTTGAGTTTGGAGCAGAATATCCATAAAACATTGATGAATTAAACAGATTGAGTCTAACCTTGTTGCTTCTATATATTCATTTCAGATGGGAAATTTTCCATTCTGTTCTCAAACATCATCATCCTTCTGGTACATTTCTTCTAAACATTACTCACATAATAATTCCTCATGCGATTCTTCCACATCAATCTGTTTGTATCACTCATAGTTTTTCGTTTTTCAACTGAAAAGCTATTCATGTAGGTACTCTTCGCTGTAGGTAGGTACCTGAAATTTTCAAGTATAGTGAATCCGATGTGTACATAGTTAACATAACTAAAGACATGTTTTCACTGCAACTAACGGAATTTCATGAATTATATATTAACTTATCAAAAATATAGAAGGAAATAAGCAGCCCCTACCTTTCTGCTTGGCTTGCATGTCGAAAAAGTGTGAAAGCACTGATGAGTTTCCGAAGTTTCCACAGTTCCAACTTAAATTCAAGTTGCATCATAAGTCAACCTAATACAGCATTGCCTAAACATCTCCCTGCTTCCATTCAAGTATAGGTAGATGGTTTTCATACTTGATAATATCTTTCATGATAATGTTTCATTTT